AAATGCACAAACTTAAACAAACAATAGGGAACAAGAATCATGTTGAGGCATCCATTGTCGAAGCATACATTCTCAATGAAATAACAGATTTTTGCTCCCGATATTTTGGTGCGGATGTTGAAACAAGTTGGAGTAAGCCCCCAAGGAACTTTGCAGCAGTTCCACTTTATAGGAACACAGAATTCTCGATATTTGCATGCCCTGGTCATCCAATGGGTTCACATTCACAGACACACTATCTAACTACTCAAGAGATGAAGGCGGCTGAACTTTATGTCCTACTAAACTGTAGAGAAGTTGATGCGCTTCTTAGGTGAGATATGACAAACTAAACTCTTTTTAATTAAATTTTTAGGGAAAGCTTGCTGGATTATAGCAAAGTAGTTCAACATTCCATTTGTGGTCACACCTAATTGTTTCGATATTTCAGCATCTTTGATCGAGAAGTTGGTGTATATATGACCCCTTCTAATCCACAGAAAGCACGCAACAGAAGTTTTGTTACGTGGTTCAAAGATAGGGTAAACAATATTCTTCATCATGTTATGTTGTTTCAAATATTATTATATACCTATATATATATAATTAGGTAATATACAATATATTACCTAATTGAGTTTTTAACAAAAATACTATAAATTTGACTAATAACATGAACATATAAATTTGGTAGGTGTTAAATGGCCATCATGAAGGGAATGAGGTTTTGCAATAACTTGCACTGGGCCCATCATGGACAATCAATGTCTACAGAGGTTATTATGTCAATGGTTTTAGATTTATGACACAAAAAGTCAGTAGTGAAAGAAAAACATATAACTGTGGTATATGTGTGAAAGGAACAACCATATCTGATAATGCCGAGACTGATTATTATGGCATCTTTAACGAAGTCATTGAACTATTGTATTATGGACTACATGCACAAATACAGACAATTGTCTTATTCAATTGTGATTGGTTCGATACACGTAGGGGAACACGCATTAACCAAGTTTACGACATTGTTGAGGTCAACTCACAGTATCGACTGTCGACCGGCGAGCCATTTTGCCTTGCGTGTCAATCAACGCAAGTGTATTACACTAGTTACCCATCAGACAATCAAGCAACTAATGGATGGTTCGCCACATGCAAAATACGTGCTAGACATTTGATTGACACTTGTTCAACTTCACTTGATATAGAAGAAATATTCCAGGATGAGGAGCCACCATCCACACAATCATTAGAGCATAGTTCCAATTTGGCATCCACAGAATGTGTGGATTTTCATGCAGAAGGAGCAACAATGGTTGACTTAAATGGAAATGCAAATGATGATGTTGATGAAAATGCGAGTGAAGGAAATGATGAAGATGAAACAAGAAGCGATGCTGGTGGCGATAGTAGCGAGACTGAATAGTCATTAAATAATTGAAAGTCATGTAAATAATAGTTTTAAAATTTAGTTGTCATTAAAAAAAAAAAAAATCTTGTGTACGAGACTTCCTAATTAACAAATATACTTATGAATGACTAATGACTGTTTCTTCATTGTTTGTTTCATTGACATTATTTATG